TCTGCTTATTTTTATCATAATCCTTTCATATTAACGAATATTTTTCGTATATTACAATTAATAAATAAATGCCTAAATACACAGATTTTAAATTATATAATCTAGCAGCGGACCAGAACAACCACACCTGGCAACTTAAACGTGGCCTTGTAAAAAGGCAAAAATAACCAATGATAATTTAATTGTAATATGCGGAAAGACATAATGTTTGTATATATATATATATATATATATATATATATATATATATATATATATATGTGTGTGTGTGTGTGTGTGTGTGTGTGTGTGTGTGCGTGCGTGTGTGTGTGTGTGATAATCCGTTGGTATATAATCCAAGTGAATCCTAATAATATAAAATATTAAAACTGATCTACAAAAAAGCTCAATGTATTTATTATAACAGACCATATAAATTACATATTAAATTATCTATCTATCTATCTCTATCTATCTATCTATCTCTCTCTCTCTCTCTCTCTCTCTCTCTCTCTCTCTATATATATATATATATATATATATATATATATATATCAGTTGTTTTACATTTATTTTTAAAAACAGTGCTCGATACACAGTAGAGCATAATATTATAATTATTTTTTAATAATATGTATTTTTTGTGAAACAGAAATTACCATGTTTCGAAACCAAAGCCTACATTTTAAATTAAACTCTAGTTTAAATTTGAAGTTCAGTCCCATTTTAAAGCAATGCTGATTAACTTTCGACAAAAAATTATTTACTCTATTTATAAGTCAATTAGTATTAGATATTTTAAGTTGGTGGGGGGAATGAGAATTCAAAATTTTTATTAATGGGGTGTTGGCTTTTTTTAACAAATCAAGATACAAGTATATTTTTATGTGGCAAAGTGAAAATCGGTTAAGGTTAGGTAGGGTTTTGAAATTTCTATGTGTTGGTACTGACTTCCGAATGTGTCAATACAGTTTTATTTTTTTTTAATTTTACTATGGGTTACACTACAATTCAATTTGCATTTTTATTTATTTATTTTCTTATTCTTTAAACAACATCGCCATTTTCTTAAATTGGTTTTCAAATATGATTAAGTCATATTAATTATATCTATATTTTTATTTATAAAGATCCAAAATACTATATTTATTATATTTACTAATAAACTATATATAGTATTGTAAAATGAAAATATTAGAATTTAATTACGCATTTATAAACTAATTTATTTATGATTAAATAATAGATATATAATTATACAAATTATTTTTATAATGAATTATTTTTTAAGGAAAATATCTACAATATCTATTTTTATCTTTGTTTTATCTATTGTTTTTTTGTCTCCCCTGATATGGAGACTAGGCTAACTCCTGGAGTCACTGCAATACCAGACCAACCCGTGGCAAAGGCGAAGCAAGTCCCTGACTCTTCACCCTGTTCCAAAAAACAGTTTAATATCAAAGTCCCACTGCTTACAAAAAATAGTATTGGTTTAATTTTAAGAGTTAGGTTTTAGTTTCGAAACATGGTAATTCATGTGTAGCGATGAATACATATTTTTTTTTAATAATAATAATAATAATTACACACACACACACACACACACACACACACACACACACACACACACACACACACACACACACATATATATATATATATATATATATTTGAATCACGTGTGAAACGAAATAACTTGTTCAAACGCCAAATATTAAAATATGTTACGAATTTTTCTTCCGTGTCAATAAATACTGGTTGGATTTCTGTTGATTAGACCTGTTCTCCCCCACCCACACATATTTCACTCATAATTGAAGAGATGTCAGTGGAATTGGTTATGTGTCATATCCGCGTGAAGATATTTAGTTATTCTTTCTCGTGAGACTCCTCAATAAATTCCTGCTCTAAAATAGCATTTGTAAATATTTACTCTTCGACACATTTGTTATAGATTCCCTCTTTATCCCATTTATTTCTAAAGACGTTTGTTTTTCTTTATCGAGTACACCGACAAACACTTTTCTCAATGTACCTAATAACCACTCAACATTTTAAAGCATTATGATTCTGGTATATATAAATATTACCCGGCTGCCTTTTGTCGAGGATAAATAATAACAGGTATACGTCAGTCTCGGGAGACTTTGGAGTCTCACTGAGTGGCTAGCCAACTCCTATTGCAAACGCTAGCCCATGCACATTTGTTTTTCGTCAACACCCAAATCTATGGCTTATGCTGTAGCTATGCGGTGAGGACATTACAATTTGGCTGGATCAATAACTCTGTAGCGTGACATAGTTATTAACTGAATGTTGATCCAAAATAGTCGCTGTATAAAGCTGTATCTATGTGACTACTGAAAAAGTGTTGGATTAAGTGTATTGGCAGAATCTATCCTACAAGTTTATACGTCTACCATTTGTTCGAGCAGTGGATAATGTTGCGACATCTGGTCTAGTGCCTTTGATATCTATCTAGAGATTCTTGACAACATTCAAATAAGAATTTGCAATGTTATCGTCTCTAACCTGGCATCTCGGTTTCAGTCACTTTCCCACCGCCATAACGTAGCTTTCCTGGGCCTTTCCTGCAAGTATTTTCATAGTAGTTGTTTTGATGAGCTTTCCTCTTTGGTACCTAGAATTCACGATTTTAAGCGCAGTACTGACAAGGTTTCGTTATTTTACTGTTTAAATCGCTTGATATAACTGTAAGTTCTATTCTAATAGTTTCTTCTCTCGCACTACTCGCTTGTGGCACGCTTTTCCGGTTTCTTGCTGTTGTAACCTAACAAGGGTTACTGAATGAGGAATAATCAAAACGGAGGTTGGAAATGAAATAGTAATCTTTATAACATCAACAAAATACAATACTCGCTAGCGGCATGAAGTAGGTAAACCACTGCTAGTGGTGGACTACTTAGACAGCATATTACCCCCAATTACAATAGTGTCCAACGTATTTACGAGGACTGAGACATACCCATTAGCGTTCATAAGTACAGTATATAACACTTGCTTTTCAGTCAGCTACAGTCTTAAACAATTTAAATCGTTATCTTCTGTCTCCTTGAATCCAGTTCTTCTTAAAAGCCCTTTTTTTCTCAATAATGATTTTGAAATTCTTTCACTCTCACTTAGACTGAAAATAATCTGCATTTCAGTGGCTTGCCTCTTAGTGGCTTGAGTCGTAGTGGCTTGTGTCTTAGTGGCTTTCTCACCTTGCTTGAGGTGAAATGATTAAAAAAAGAAAAAGAAAAAAGCAAAGAAAGGAAAGGAAAGGAGATCCAGTAGGTATTCACTGACAGTTTTAAATGAGAATGACTCATTCCTCGAATCTGTTATCTTCCGGTGACACCACGACCACAGACACATGATCAAGGCGACATCACAGGAATTACCATGACCAAAAATCTAACATTGATCTAATTCTTTAATTATATTTTCGACAATATTTTAATGTACACTAGAAATTTATATTTATATATATATATATATATATATATATATATATATATATATATATATATATATATATAAGCTTTTTCTGCTTTGTGAGAAGAGTTCTAAGATATTTAAATGAATTAGACGACAAACTTACATAGTAATAATTCAAGAATTTTAAACGCTTCTTTGAAATATATTATATTAATGATTGACAGCATCTAGGTATCGGTGGTTTTATACATTGAAGTTTAGTGTGTCTGGCACAGGAGTTAACTTATGGTCGGAAGTGGAGTAAACGTTGTTTCTCATTCTAAAGGGGAGAAGGAGCCCAGTGCCGGAGATTCCAGACATACAGCAGCACCTTCCTCATTGCAGTAAGAGAGGTAGGGACGGTGTAATATAGATGCAAGCGTGACAGTGGTTGCGGGGACTGGGCAAAATCTTTTGTCCTTGGCCCATATGCATACGTATGTGTATGGCGCTCTCCACGTCAAAACGACCTTTTGTCACATCCTGTCTTAGTGGGGAGGCCCCGGTAAATACACCTGTTCATCAGACGCTTCACAATATGTCATAACATTAAGTGTACGTTAAATAGGCAGTCACTTAACAGTACGCGCTCGTGAGTTAATTCCCCAGTGTCATGAGTTCTATCCTCGGTGGTACTCCAGTATTGTTGTCGAGTATCAGACTAAACTTCATTTACAGTATGAACTTAAGTGTAGACAGGAATTGTGATTTACTTCAAAATATCATTGGTAAATAACTCCATCGTCAGTAGGTGCCAGAGATCTTCAAGTGATTTATTTCGAAACAGACACGTTTTTCTTTGAATGTCCCAACTATAAAAGCATTTTATCTCATTGAAGTGATCATAAAACAATTTATATATATGCGTGCTGTCATTTTAAAAATCCAGATATATTAACTGGTAATATAACTCTTCAATATTGTTGTCGTTAATATCTTGACCGATTACAATTAATTTGGTTGTACTCTTTTTTTTTTCTGATGTCTGCCATCATTGAAACCGAATCTGACACAAGGACATAAGAGCAGGACACATAATACGCCCTTTTATTTATCGCATAACTGGCAGAGGTGAAGAGGAAGTGATGGATTTGTATCTTTCCGATGAGTATTTGTGTTATGGCAACGAACTCGGGTAGAATTTGAACTCGGCATACCGATTCCAATTTGCTCGTCAATAACCGCTACGTAGTCGCACGCGAACAGATTTTTACGAAGCTTCGCCCATTCTGGAATAAGAACACAAAATTAGAGCAGTAAGGAAAAAAAAAAAAAATCGAACTCATTTAGCAAATGCGTGACTAACATGTTAACCATTGACTGAGATTAGAGGATTACTTTCCACCAGCAAGTAGATTTTTTCAAGTTTTAAATAGAAGTTTACAGTTTTGGAATGGCATGGAATGAAAGCTTTCTTTGATGAATATGTGATTTAACAATCTAATATGTCAATTTAATGTGGTTTAACAATCAAAATGTCTGAGATCTGTTACTTAGTTCCAGGTCGTAATCACTGAGCTCCCGCTCTCGCTTCACAGACACACACAGACATACGCGCACACATACAAATATTTCTTTCTTTCTTTCTTTCTTTCTTTCTTTCTTTCTTTCTTTCTTTCTTTCTTTCTATCTATCTTTCTTTCTTTCTTTCTTTCTTTCTTTCTTTCTTTCTTTCTTTCTATCTATCTATCTATCTATCTATCTATCTATCTATCTATCTATCTATTTCTTTCTATCTATCTTTCTATCTTTCTTTCTTTCTTTCTTTCTATCTATCTATCTATCTATCTATCTATCTTTCTTTCTTTCTATCTATCTATCTATCTATCTATCTTTCTTTCTTTCTTTCTTTCTTTCTTTCTATCTATCTATCTATCTATCTATCTATCTTTCTTTTCTTTCTATCTATCTATCTATCTTTCTTTCTTTCTTTCTATCTATCTATCTATCTATCTATCTATCTTTCTTTCTTTCTTTCTATCTATCTATCTATCTATCTATCTATCTATCTATCTATCTATCTATCTATCTCATTCTGGTCCTTACCTATCTATCTATTGGGTGTATTTGGGTAGCAATTTTTCATTTATGCACGTTTGATTAAACATTAACGAAAGTTACATGTTGAATAAATGAGTAGAAACATTGAAAAAATAAAAAACAACTTACGTTGTTTTTACTCAAACGTGCGTATTTATTTATGCATTTTTAAAAAAATTAATTCACCCAAATCAAGGAAATAACTCCACGAAGACGTCAAGAGGCTACTGCAAGTGAAAGAGAAGGAAACTACTTTAGAAGGGACCGGAGACCCAACCCTAAACAAGAAAAGAATATATATATATATATATATATATATATATATATATATATATATATATATATATATATATAATAAAATGATCTTAAGGTATGCTATATTTATGGGTAAAAGTGCTCAACATCAAGGATATAGCGTGTGTAAATAGAACAGTGCACTCTGAGGTCAACATCGAGTGGCGACATTCTGTTTCAGGCTTGAACGTAAACTTTAGCCCATACGAAGATACAGATAGCTTGAAGGCTGCGTAATATATATATATATATATATATATATATATATATATATATATATATATTATCTTAACTCACCCGTATCGTCCTCTGATGGGCTTTATCGAGGTAAATGTCGGAGAACGAAACACGTCGGCTAAGAAAATTTTTCCTTTTGTTTTTTTTCATATTGCCCTTTTACATATATACTCATTCTGTAATTTACACAGGCACATGCACACACAGACACACACACAGACACACACATATATATATATAATCATTAGTTAAACCAGGGAATGGCTCGTTTTTTTACAATGTGTGCGTGTGTTGATTTTTTGGCGAGCATGGTGTTGCATGGGTTCACGCCCACTTTCTCGACTTCCCCACAAGGATCCAACGACAAGGTCCAGGATGGCTATTGAAGGATCAGTTGCAGTGAATAGACCAATAAAATTTCAATACAATTTCAGAAGATATCAGAGATCTTCACGGCTCCATTTTGAATTCACAGTGTTCTTTCTCATAGGTTGGCCGCCAACCAAGGCTAGAGGGCACATTCTACTCTGCTAATTAATCTATACATATGAGAGAGAAAAAAGATGAACTTACGCATGTGCGGACAGTGTAGGGAGAAATAGTTTGTCAATATTCTGACCGATTCGTTTAAGTTAATGCCCTTGGGTTGGTCTTATGAATTTCCTATCACTTGCTTAACATATCAACTCTATTTAGGTCGGGTTTTATTCTCGTGGTAAACATTGGTTGTTTTTATTATTTGAGTCGACAGGTGAATATTGCTCGGCTTTTATACTTTAATTAATAGGTAAATATTGGTTGGGTTTTATACTTGAGTCTATAGGTGAATATTTGTCGTTTTTTATTAGTATATAAGTAAACATTAGTCGGGTTTTATACTTGAATTTATCGGTAAATAAATTGATTAGTATTTATATCCGAGTCTCCAAGCACCTATCCGGAATGTGGCCTCTTTCTTTGGTGTGCTCAAGAGATACATTCAGTGTATTCTATGTCCTGTACACCAGGGCATTAATACCTTTAGGAAACACACACACACAGGCATGCATGAAGGAATGAGGAATCGGAGAGCCGTGTTCGAATTCCAGTCAGGTTCATTACATTTACTTACGTGCTAATACCCTTGTGAAATCTACGAACTCATCTCGTATCCACCAACTATGAATAAAAAGCAGTACAGAGTGGGTCCTACAGCTTTGGGTGGCAACCGGTCTAGGAGACAGACAACTCTTAATTCAAAACCCGAGGAGAGTCGTTTGGAGATCTTATGACATGCTGTACTCGGCTTTTCCAAAAAGTGTAGTTGCTTTTGAACCAGCCATCACCACTATAAGCAAATCATATTTAAAGAAACCAGCTGGATCTGCTTCAATGTCGGATTTTCCCGTGATGTGATTAGCCTGGTGCGCTTTTGATCAGGTGTCAGAAGACGTAGCACCCACCGAGCAGAAACGTTCGTCATGCCAAGTTCATCATGCAGGATGTTCTCATCTCTCTCGCAATATATGCTAATAACGTCGCCATTTTATTTAGTATCAGTCACCTGTCATCTATCACTATTTGGTGAAAACAATCAATTTTTTCTTCGGTGGCAGCAGGACGTCCAGATCTTTGGTCATCTTCAAGATTCTCCCTCCCCACACATAAATTCAGCTGCCCACTTTTGCACCGTTGATAAAGCTGGGGCGTTATCCCTTAATGTATCAACCATGCCAGCATAAATGTCCTTGGGGTCTAAATCCTTTTTCTGCAGGTACGATGCCAAATTTTGTCCATTTTCAAGAGATGTCGCTACTACAAGTTGAGAATCCTTTATCCAAAATTCCTGAGGCCAGGATATGCTTCAGTTTTCAGATTTTTTCGGATATTAGAATACAGGTTATTTAATTTGTATATAGCATCTATAAAATGGTGAAGTTTGGGAATGGAACCCGAGCATAAACACGATATCCCTTTACATTTCACAACACAGCTTACCCTGAAGATAGTTTTATATAAATAACATATACCTTGATTAGTAGTTTTATATAAAATTTTATATAAAATTTAATAAATTTTGTGTACATACAGATACAGCTAATGACGCTAGCCATGTAATGCTCACACGGATTTTTAAGTGGTGAAATTAAGATTTCAAAACAAAACATGATCACCACTTACAAAAATGTATAAATGCAGGAGTTATTAACATTTTGAATAATATCGTTACTGAGCATAAAACACCTGATTAGTAATCCACAAACGAAAGTGTTGTTGTGACGATCGCACCAACTTCATCATTTGTCGACCGTAGTCGGGAACATCGAGCCAATGCGAACGATCCTTTCCTTTAGCTGAATAGTATATGCTACGCCAGGGCTACATAGAGTTTTGAATTCAGAGATTTCTTTCTCCTACATCAGTTGCCACCCAAGGCTAAAGAACCCAGTCTGTCCTGATACTTACCCATAGCTGCGAGAAGAAGGAAAGAATTCATACTTTTCCTAAGGGAATGTAATGGATCCGACTGGAATTCGAACTCGGTTCTCCGATTCCTCAATCCGAGCCGCTATCCATTACTCCACTCCACACCAATTTAGATTACGTAACTGGACTGGGGAACGCCCACCCAGAGCAGTTAGGGTCACTTACTGCACTTAGCTTCACATCACCTAAGAACGTTCCCAGTGCTTTCTGAAATTTTCCATTTGTTCCCAGTGCTTTCTGAAATTTTCCATTTGTTCCCAGTGCTTTCTGAAATTTTCCATTTGTGGCAAGTCATGTCAGCTCCTGAAAAACATTCATTTTGGAGATTTTCGGATTCTGGAAATTTTCGAATTTTAGAGTTTTTCGGATTTGGGAATTTCGGATAAAGGATTCTTAACCTATAGTTGCCTTTGAGTTCTTCTTTGAACAGTTAAACATTGCGGTTATTAATAACAACAGTTTTAAGATTTCACAGCTCTAGCAGGACCCCTTCACAGTCACCTCTGAACTTTTCAGCCCCTTCGCCACCACACACACACACACCCACACACACACACACACACACACACACACACATATATATATATATATATATATATATATATATATATATATATATGCCCGGTTTACACACCTCTCCGGTTTTTTTAAATGTATTTTCCTTGTTTTTCACTTCCAGTAGCCCCTTACGTCTTAATGGCATTATCGCCTTGCTTGGAGTGAATTGATTAAAAATACAAAATAAAACTAGTAAAATTTCATCGCCATCGAGCAAACCCTAAACCTACCCCAATCCTAATGAGTAGTCGTACCCTCAAAGAGGCTCCTTGTCTTCTATACCTTCTGGTTCTCGAGCGTTTATGGTTTCACGTCATATTGTGTTTTAATATTTTGTCAACAAACGGTATGTTTCTCTTCTAATGAGAAATATTCGAAAAGAATATATTTGCTGTTGAGATAAGTGTTATGAATAATCAAGTGTGATATCCCCTTGTTTTGTTACTCTACTCTTTGAGAGAGCTTTTTTGTTTACTGGGACTATAAAAGGACACTATACGTGAACCTTGTATTCTCAGTTGAATAAAGCTTTCTTAAAGCCTACACCTGCGTACTTTTGTCATTACAATAAGATCAAATTAAGAACATTTCTATATAAGGTTTATGTCACGGTTTTGATCTTGGTCGGTGTTTTTTTTTGCATAAGACAGTACATTTTGCTCCACATTAACTCTATATGACATTCTCAGATATTTATTATTGGCAAAAGTATCTATAAATAAAATTTCTGTCTCCTGGTTTTAATATAACTTCACTGGAACAAATCTTCTGCATCTCCTTTTCTTACTTAAATATTCATGTGTGCATCTGCCGAGACAAATTCCGTTACGCGGCGCTGCAGATGGGGAGATACGTATGCCTATGCATGTTTTACAATGGAGGAGAAGAGAATTTGTTTAAGTTTATTCAACACTATCAGCACTCAGCTATTTATTGCAAATTAACACGATATCCATGTTTCTTTTATTATTCAAACTAATCAAACTATATATATATATATATATATATATATATATATATATATATATATATATATATATATATATATAGTTTATGCAAATTTAATAATCCGTATGGGTAGACCTGAGGAGGATGATATCCAGAGAGCTCAATGTAAAATTCAGAGCAGATATGTTTGAATAAAAGACAGACCACGTTAAGATTCCATGTAATAAGCTATTTCACCATAACCCCTTTAACAGGGTTCTGGATCATCAGACTTTACCTCCAAAAGCTGAAATGAAAAATGAAAAGAAATTCACATATATATATAAAACGATTACTGTCTTTGTTTATAGATTCATAAAGCAATTACAGTTCAGATGTTATCTAAAATAGTCGACGATGGCGACGATATCTGAATACCTGAAATTAAATATATGATCAACGAATTAATTGAAAAAAAATATCTGTACATCGCTATTGATTGTCTCTGGTGGGAAATGTAACGAAAGATTTAGTTTTTT